GGGAAAGTGGCAACAGGAGTGTGGAGTTGCAGAGTAGGGACATGGGGAAGATAATATGGATAAAAAGGGCTCTACGAAGTTTCTGAAGTCTGATCCTATTAATGCACAGAAAAGATGAGGTTACCCAGCTTTAAACACATTAACATACATGCTTTGTTGATCACAGGGGATTTGTGAAGTGTGTATTAAAGCCTCGAGAGAGCTAAATGAGAATGCCTTTGGATTTACAAGCATTTGTAATTACAAAGCATACAGCAATTGCTTCTGACTACTTAAATCTAGCAGACAGACATAACACCACAAACTGAATACTGGCCAACTTTAAAATTTCCTTCTTAAATAACTGGCTGCTGTGATACTGCTGTCTAGCATTCATCGGACCTAGGAGGGTCTCAATGATTTTGAATACTATCTTAAAAATGCAGTATTATTTTACTCTACACAGTGCCGTGAAAAGTTCAGATACACTTTTACACAGTGAAATTCCTACGGTACAAGGAGTTCTCCTGAATCAAACTTCAAAACCAAGATAGATGAATTTCTGGCACTATCTATCCGTCTCACCATGGTAATTAATAAATTCAATTTCAAGGTCTGTGTCATGCAGAAGATCAGACTATGGATAACTGAGCTCCGTAGCCTTAAAATCTATTTCTCCCTGCATATCAGATTAATTAATAATGTGCATTTTCAACAGCCCAATATTTGTGTTAAAGTAATTTCAGAAAATGTTACGTTTCAGATGCAGTAAAGCACTCTAAGTATGTAAGTATACACTTACCAGAGTATCATCACTTCTAGCAACACTCATGTTACTTCTGGACAAGAAAGATCTTGATAATCTTTGGCACAAGGATATTAAACGCACTGATTGCTTTTAAAAAACAGTAAGAAAAAAGCTACATTAAAAAAGATACAGAATTCTTGTGATGCTACTGCATAGACTTTAGAGGAATACTGTTGTATTAGCAAAACAAACTGGAGTTTGACTTCAACACCTCCCATCTTTTTATACTGCATGTGAACCTTCAATTTCTTTTGACATTTATCACCCAAATAGGTTATTCATATGCACTAAGCAAAGCTACATAGTATTTTTGGATTGCTACTATTTCACCAAGCTGTTCAAGCAAAACAGATGTGCATTACATCCTCTTGTTCACATTGAAAACATTTAAATGTATATATTTTAAAGTATGTACACACAGAAAGCCTAAGCTGAAACTAGTGGACAGCATTCCTTTAAGCGCCGCATTACAAAACACTGTAAGATATTTGTAGACCCACCATTTCGCTCTAGGGCAGCAGACTAGTACTTACATTTTATAAATAACATAGATTATCAGCTATCACAGACACTAAACTGCGACAAAAAATTGTACTGCATAACTGCATATTTTGTGCCTTTGGTCCACAGCTTAGCAAAATCATCCTATTTCCTGGCTTCAGTGACAAGAAATAAAAATCCTTTTTAAGTAATAGCAAACTCTGTTGTCTCACGTTTCATCTCTCCTCATGATAAACAGATTTCTCACACAACAGTCCAGCCCTTGCTTACTGTCAGAATTTCCCAGTGTGCAGGCTGAAGGAGGAGGGATCACTGTCTTGATGAACTGCTCCTTGCACAGATCCAATGTTTTCAGCTAATACCTTGCCCTGCTTCTGGAAAGATTAAATCATGCCAACCTTCAAAACAGGCTAGCAGTCTCAGACCAAAAGTCCTTTGCAAAAGAGACTAGTTTTTTTTTCCTGCTCTGTTGAGTGCTGGTATAACTACTGGAATAATTAATTCTGTGAGGCTTGCTTAAGGGATGTTTTTGCTGGGATTACTGTAACAAAAACATGCACCTACTCTTAGAAGTGCCTTTTCTCTGAAAACATTACCAAAACAGATGATGACAGTATACAGCTAGATGGATAAAACAAACAATCCACACACACGCATTTGTATGCAGATTATTAACAAAGAAGTCTCCTCCCATACCATCATACTCAAACATCGAAGTTATTCCAAATGACAGAGGAATGAGTTTCTTCTTCCTTCTTCTCCTCTCTTAAAGGCACTGATGTTTCCCTGGAGCAGATAATGTTACTGCATTTATATATCATCAACATTTTGAAGATTTATTGAATGACTTACTTTCCATTTTCGTCGTGCTGCAAACTTTTTGAATTTCTCCATATTCACTGCAGATGCTTTTCTACTACGTGCTTGCTGAGTGTCTTTAGGCTATGCGCAAAAGGAAAATAAAGCTGTTGTGAAATATCCCACAGCTACAACCAGAACTTTCATAAAGCACCTTCCTATATCTAAGAGTCTGTCCTTCAGAGATGACTTCCACTTACTTCATACTACTACTATAATCATACCGTAATAATAAAAGTAATTGTAAGCACATCATTTTAACATCCACAGCCTAGTGTGGCATGGAGATGGAACTTCTTGAGAAAAAGCCCTAAAGGATACGCAGACCTAAGAATGTTTCATGCAATACTAAAATTTGAGGTTTTTCATTGTAAACAACAAAAAGCCAACAGCCTACAGAACATTCAGCTCTATCCTTCATTTCCCTCTGTGACAGAGGCATCGGATATCATCTCTTAGATGAATCTTGTCTTCTGGGAAGATTTTCTAGCTGATTTTAAATGCAGTCAAAACTCTGTTTCACTCCATTGTGTAATCAGCTGGATGCTGCTGTGACTCCAAAACAATCACATCCCACCTACCTGTGGAGCAAGCTTTAAAAGGCTGCACCCCTTGAACTTTCTCAAAGGCTAATACTAAGGACCAGTTACCAGTGAAGCATCCCAAATCTTGCATTAGATGATCCGACACTTAAAGCCATTTTTATGGAGAAATGCAGGTAAAGGTAGTGATGGGAAGGCAGAAAAAAGGGCATGACCACTGGTGTGCCAGAAGAATGCCCAAGAAGTTAATATATAAAGGAACATAATAGGGTACAGAACAACATGTCTTGCTGCAAGAACGGAGGCAAACTTGGACAATGCTTGCTTCAGTGGTTTAAAAGATCATTTCAACATGTTCAACATGTTTCAACTGTTTTAAGACTACCACACCAAAAAGCCAACAAAGCACAGTGAAATCTGCAGTTTGGCATATTGGTGCAGAAATGTCTGCCCTAGGATGCTGAACTGAACTGGAGCAGCTGTTGCACATATAAACATTCTGCTAACTGGTTTTCTGGGAAGTGGAGTGGGGTCAAATACCTACCGTGCATCCTCACAAACAGAATGTCATGTGGAATTTAAAAAAATTATGGGGCAGGTATTACTATACACATTATGAATGATAGGGCCCCACTGTCTCCCTCTTAACAACAGCTTCACCCCAACCAAACACTGTGGAACACTGAAAGAAATGGACCACTGCCCCACATCAGCTGCTTTCTTCAGTCTAAAGAGGAAGGACAGAAGAGAGGTGACCATTTTTTGGACAGTCTAAATAAAGATGTCAGAAAATGAAAAATGTGAGCGGAAGTTGGACTGATCCAGAGAATGTATCTTTGTCAGTGCAGCGCTCCATGAATATCTGTTTCTCTACCTGAGCACGATTTTAACCTCAATAGTGGGCCTACCTCCCACCTATACAGACAATACGTTAACCAAGTACAAATTCCGCATATATTAGTTTTCATACACATAGCTTTCCAAAACAGTAAGTTATATTAAACAATTACGTCAATTTTCCCTGTTAAGGAACTCGAAAAGTGAAATATGAACAAAGAATGACTAAAAACAGGACAACAGAGAATGAATTACATGCTAACCTTTATCCAGGGATGCAGCAAACTATCCTGAATGGTCATTCTCTTCCTTTAATAGAATAAAAGACAGATGTTTCAGATATCAAAAAAATACATACTGCTATATGCTTATTAAACTATTATCTCAATATATCATGTAATTTGAAATACTAGAGACATAGGCTGCAACAGCGCATACACAAGAGAAACAACTCACTTTGGATCCTTGACTAAAAGTCTTTGTATAAAGTCTTTAGCTAGGGCACTGGTATTACTGAAGAACTCTTCTTCAAATTCGTAATTCACAGCAGACACATTTGCTAATGTTTCCTGTTTGGTTTCTCCTAGAAATGGTGATGCACCACTTAGACTGCAAGAAAGACAGAACATTCCTCTCATTACAAGTTTTAACATTCCTGTTTCAACCCTCTGAAATCAAATAAGAGCAAAAAGTGAATGTTTTTCTTTTCTGCTTTAAGACTGCAAATGTACTTTCAGGAAGATGTGATCCAGCAAGGTAAAAAGTTTTGCTGTAATTTCAGAGAATATTGATGAAGATATAAGCTGCTGCAGAAAATCACCTACAGAATTGAAGATGACTTCCCATGCTATCTTAATGTGGATTAACGACCATTCCTTCAATAATTAAACTACTGCTTTTCTGATCATTCAACTTGAATCACAATGTGCAATCAAAATGGTTTGACTTGTATAGACACAACCAAAAACCCAGCAGCTAGAAACAGAATTAAAAGAGCAGCATTTGCAAGAACCACCCATGGATTTTGGTACTTACAGAATATAAGTTATTACACCAATGCTCCTGGAGTGAAGGAAAAAAAAGAAAAAAGAAAAAGAAAAAAAAGGAAGGAGGGATGGAGAGAAAAACAGATGGAAGGAGAGAGGAGAGAAAAAAAACACGTTAGAACTTAAGAACAATCATGAGAGATTTATCTCAAATAAGATCCAATAACTTACCACATATCTGCTTCAAGACCAAGAGGCTCATAATTTACTATTTCAGGAGCTAAAGGAGAAAGCAGGAAGATCAGTACCTAGTCAAAGAACAGATCTATGTCACTCTGAGACTATATATGTCAGAGACAACAAGCTAAGATGCTGACAGATAATAACACCTTAGTGCAAGTCTTAGTTGGAACTGAATGCTAAAAATTACTTATTTAAATTTCAAAAATGTCATGACTTACACACAAATTATATAATTTGTAAATCAGTCAAATCAAACTAAGCCATGTATACTCTTTCACAGAATAAGAAAGAATAGTTTGGAAGAAACAGTTTTCTCACCAACAAACTCTGGTGTTCCGAAGATATTTTTGAATTCATTTCCAAAGTCAATTCTGTGTGCTAAACCAAAGTCAATAATCTTGATTCGAGGCTTTGGTACATTCTTGTCCAGCAACATTATGTTTTCAGGCTTTCAGAAGGAGGAAGGGGGAGAGAGATTATACATAGGTATGAAATGTCTGACACATACCAGCATTCTTCAGCACTGAACACTTCTCTTTACTTCCTTCAGCCTCTTGAATTGTGTCTTCAGCAGAACCTCCCCATCTTTTCTTACTACTACCTAACATATGCTCAAAAATTAACTACAGTAAATTAGGATTTCATGTTGACGACATAGTGCTACGATTTCCACAGGGCCAAGATTCTACCTCTTGTAGATACAATAGCTGCAGTTTCCACGTGGACTGACCCTAAATTAAGCACTTTGTCTTCAGCAAAGAGCACAGCCCCTGCACTACGGCCATTCGAGCAGTGCCTGCAAAAAACAAAGTCCTACAGACTAGGATTTGGGCTTGGTTAACGTTACTCCCTGAAGGAGGTTTCTTTCACACTGCACTAGCAATCAGGAAGGTACAGCTTTTTGCCTTTGGATCTCCAAGATAAACTTTTGGAGTGCTCCAGCTCCCAGATTTTAAGGCTCAACATACTTGCGCAAAAAAAGAAAAAGAGTAGGTTCTCATGTCTTTTCTAGCTCTATTTTAAAATATGGACTTTGGATTACTTTACAACAAAGATCTGCAAAACCAGAACAATGTTAGAAAATAAAATGTCAATATTATTACCGAAGGAGCCTGCTTCTACACTCCATCACTTTAGCATACAGAATCAGCTACTTCATCTCCATATCCTGTTGTGTCCATAAGCTGGCGTTCTCTGAAGAGTTCCTGGAGCTACATCCATTCTGCTCACATTGTTAAGGACTTCTGGAGTCATCAAGGACAGCTCTTCATTATCACTCTTCTTTTAACTCTCTTCCCCAATTACAGGCACTGATATGTGCAAATGTAATTTTTTTCCTTCCCTCGCAACATTTCTATTGCATACCTGTATTGTTCTGCATACTTTAATTCTTGCTGCATACTTCATTTCACATATTCTTGGTATTCAGTGTAAGGATGCTGTTTTATTACCAGCACATTGGTAAAAATTTACATTTCATATTTTAAGAAATTTATTTCTTCCTAGCTTCACAATTCTTTTCTCTTGCTGTCAACACAAAGACTAAATATATTACTATAGGTAATGAGGATGAGACTGGAAATGGTACGCTTACCCTGAAAATCATTCCCTGCCCTACCTCATCCTCAGAACACAGCACTCCTTTCAGAACTGCAGTGCTAACTAATAATCATGTCGTCTTCTCCGATTACAGACATAGGTGCCGACTTCAGCAGACTTGAGGGAATATTCAGCTGCCTACCTCAGGAAAAAGTCTTACAAAGGAAAACATTCTGAAATTGAAATATCAAAAAAGTAATAACTGAGTTTAGACTGAAAAGCTCTCTTTTCATTACCAAAAGGATGCAATTAACAGTTTTTCTAAAAACAGAAAAAAGCCCCAAAAGCAAAAAAGAAGAAATTATCTGCTCTGCCTGCTCCACAAAAGTCTTTGCACTTAACTCTGTACTGTTTAAATTTAGTACCTATAAATTAACATTCATGTGAACATAAAATGTATACAACAGCAAAAAAAAAGTTGAATAAAGGCATCCTGTTCAGAATGTTCCATCCAGATCCCATTCACATTCCATAAAATCACAATCATAATTTTTATTTCAAAACTGCTTCCTCAGAATGGTTTAGTTTCATCAGAAGTTGCCATTTTCCAGGAAGAATCTTACATTAAAACTAGATGGGATCTATTTACAGTTCAGTAATCTCAATGGCTGAGCTTCTCCCTGTCTACATAAGCTAGCACAACAGAACCACGGCCAAGATTTGCACGATGGCAGATTTGTGGCTGATGTCACAAAGCGCTTTAGTGGATGTTGCTTACAGCTGCCGGAAGTCTTTAATCTGCTCAACGCACCTTAAGATCAAAGTGGGCAATTTGCAGAGAGTGAAGATACTGAACGCCATTAAGTATCTGCTTGAGAAATTCTGTGGCTTCCTCCTCTGTGAGAGATTCCTTCTCAGCTAAGAAGTCGAAGAGCTCTCCACCTGCAACACTTGGAGAGCAGAAGCAGTTATTGATGAGCTTGCTTTTACCAATGGATTCCTTTTCGAGTAGTTATTTTCAAACCAGCCTAGAAAAGGATCCAGATGCTTTAAAGGTTGTAAGATGAAAATTACTTAATTTAATACCCAGAACAGTTAGCAATTACCTCTCCTCCCCTTGAAAAGAATACAATGAAGAGTGTCCTATTTTCAAACAAAGAAAGGTTAAGAAAGCCAAACAAACATGGTTGGCTGTATTTAAATTCAAATGAAGTAAAACCCAGCCACTCTCTAAATGCACATTTAAAAGAATAAAATTAAATGTGAAGTGTACTCAAAATATACAAATGCAACAGGACATCTAGAAAATAAATCATGAATTGGCTCATACTACCAGTAGAACATCAGATTTGCACCCCTCCACTGAAAAACACAAAATGTAGAGCTTACTTTGAAACATAGTAGCTGTTCTACTGTTCAGTTTCTAAATTTCTCAAAGCATTCAACTCTGAAACGTTCAAATACTCTAGTATTTGAAATAGCACATTACATTCAGCATATATGTTGTATTTGTAATCTAACATCACCACACCTTTCCTACAAGGAAAAGCCACTACTTAAGATTATTTCCAGCAAGTTTTTTTTAGCTGTACTGGCAGAATGAAGAGAGGTAAGAAATGAGGAGGGTACATTAGCACATCTAGATTTTTGCAGTTGAGGGACAGGAATAAACTGAAGATGATGAGAAAAGTCTCAGCTCAGTCAGCAGTCTGGCAGGAGCGATGACAATTGTCAACAGAAAAAGATACTGAAGTGAATAGGAAACATGAACTACAACTATTCTTAAAAAAAAACAAATCTGCTGTCAGTTTAGGGACATATACTGAGATGACTGTTCACCATAGCACACTGTTTTTCCTATTTATAAAAGCAGCAGATGTGTTACCTAGAAATGTCTTGGAGATTGCAAAGATGGTCATGTCATCCCCTACATTTTGCACTGTGTTGATATTAAAAAAATAATCAGAAAGTACACCCTAATTTATGCTGCCTTTCTGTA